TATATAAACACTTATATATTACATATAATATATATTAAGTTGATAGATTACATATACCAAAGTAAAAACTTTTTGTGTATTCGTGTGTGTATATATGCATATATATATACATATATATATATATTTGTAAATATACACATTCAAGTTTTAACTACCCAATAATGTTAAAAAGCAACAGACTTCCCAATAATTTCACCCTTTACTGTGGTAAACTTTTTCTGGGAAGAGGCTATCCAAACTATCCTGGGGGAAAAGAAAACCTCTGTGTGTGTGTGTGTGTGTGTGTGTGTGTGTGTGTGTGTGCGCATGTGGGTGTGTGTTTATGACAAATTGGAATTCACATGGGGAAAAAGAGAATCCTATAGCTGACTTGTTGATAATTTTTAGTCCTGTTTGAAGTTGAAGCTTTAGTCTGAATACAATCCCCATAGAAGAAGGACTTCTCAGTAGACTTCTAAAGTACCCAAAATTTGATACCATCCCTGATGGGTCTTCTAGAGAGGAAGAGGTTTTGTCTCATAGGCCAGAGCATACTGACTAGGTACTGGGCCAGTCCTAGTACCAACTCAGGCCCTGTGACAGGTTGCATGCGGGAAGACCCATGCTCTTAGCTATCTTGATACAGGTGATCCAGACTTGTGGTGGTGACCAATAATAATGTCAGAGGTGTCATTTATTTGGTGGATCTGATGCTAATGATACTGCTCCTGCTTATCATAATTGTTTTTAACTCAGAAGACTTATGAACTATGATTTAAGGAGTTGCTTTATATTATTATTTGTATTAAATTCCTTCAGTTGCTAGAGTTTTTTCAAGATTGTTTTAATAGTAGATGATCACTTAGAAATTTTTTACACCTTGCCACCAAGGGGTGAGATGTGGTAGGAGCTCTGTTTGTTTCATGAGGGTGGCAAGTGTGTCACTAAGCAGGTTCACCCAGGCTACTGGCTGATGAAGGTCGGATCACTTCCATGCTCCTTGCCCCTCCTGAGCTCTTTTTCCTCCATGCCCTTATGCCTTTGTTCCCTTGCTTTCCTTTCCATTTTGGCAGCCTTGATCATCACCCTAAATTCTGGCTAGTGGCAGGTGACTGTTATACTGAACTGGTCAATCAACCAATTAACAAGCAGTTATTAAGTATTTCTATGTGCCAGGAATTGTATAAAGCACGGAGTATACAAAGAAAGGCAAAAAAAGGTCAGTATTCTCAAGGAGTTTACATTGTAGTTGGGGGATTAGTGTGTAAATTAATAAACCTATAAACAATAGCTTGAAAGTAACTATAGGGTGGAAGGCATTAGCAGATGAGGAAAAGCCTGCAATAGAAGGCGGCATTGGAACTAAGTCTTAAAGGAAGCCAGGTATTGTAAGAGGTGGAGGTAAGGAGGCAGAACATACTAGGCATGGGGAAAGCCAGAAAAAAAGACAAAAAGAATTGATGGAATGTCAGTTATGAGGAGTCACAGGTAGGCTAGTATGACTGTATTGTAGATGGAGGAGGGAGTAAAGTGAAAGAAAATTGGAAAGGTGGGAGGGAGTCAGGTAGTGAAGAACACTGAGTGGCAAACAAAGGACATTCTTTATATTTGATCCTGGAGGTAATAGGGAGCCATTAAAATTTATTGATTGGGGAAGGGAGTTACATGGTTAGACTTCATCTTTGGGAAAATAAATTTGGGAACTGTTTGGAGGATTGATTAGAGGAGGGAGAGACTTGAAAAGAGACTATTTAGAAGGTTTGTGGTTTTTTGTCCTTCGTTCTCAAAGAGGGCCATGACATCAGGAAGATGATGGTAGACAGTGGTACAATGGAGAGTGTGCTGGACCTGAGGTAAGGAAGACTCATCTTTCTGGGTTCAAATCTGGCCTCACTTACTAGCTGTGTGACCCTGGGCAAGTCACTTATTTAGATGGCTAGTGTAGTATTCTAGGCAAGAAGTATTGAGGGCCAATACCAAGGTCGTGAGTTTGTAAGTAGAGAGAAGGAAGAGGATATGTGCTGAATTTATTGTTAAGGTAGAAAAGAGAAGTTTTGGTAACTATTTGGATATGTGGAATAACTGAAAACAAGGAGATGAAGATGACATTATGTTTATGAGCTTGAGGAATGATGATGTCCTTGACAGTAACAGGGAAATTTGGAAGAGAGGAGGGTGTTGGAGGAGTTCTGTTTTGAACATGTTAGTTTGAGATGCTTATGGGGCATCAGATTTGAAATGTCTAATGCTCAGTTGATGATGTAAGACTGGAGCTTAGGAGAAAGACTAGAATTGTATATATAGATGTGTAAATCTTTGTCTAAAAGTAAGTGAACCCGTGGGAGCTGATGAGATCATGAAAAGAGAGAATATAGGAAAAAGTGATAAAGGTCCAGGACAGAGCTCTAGGGAACATCCATATTTAGGGGGCATGATGTGGTTGAATATCTAGCTGAGAAGGAGCAGTCAAGTTGGAATAGGACTACAGGGGAACAGTGTCTCAAAAATCTAGAGAGGAAAAAGGATCCAGGAGGAGAAGGTCAAGTTAATGAGATAAGCATTTATTAAGTGCCTGCTGTGTCCCTGGCACTGTGCTAAGCATGAGAGATATAAAGAAAGGCAAAAAAGAAACCAGTTCCTGCTCTCAAGGAACTCGATCTACTTTTAACGGTATGCAACAGCTGTGTACAAACAAGATCAGTGCAGGATAAGTTAGAGATAATCTCAGAGGGAAGGCACTAAGATTGAAGAGGATTAGGAGAGGCTTTTTCTAGAAGGCTGGACTTTAGCTGAGATGTGAAGGAAGCTAGGAGGTAGAGATGAGGAAAGATAATGTTCCATTTATGGGGGACAGATAGTAAAAATGCCCAGAGCTCGGAGGAAGTGTCTTCTGTGAGGAACAGCAGGGAGGCCCGTGTCACTTGATCATAGAATACATGGAGGGGAGTAAGGTAGATGAAGAGTATAGGAGGGGCCCAGATTATGAAAAACTTTAAAAGCCAAACAGATGTTTGATCCTGGAGATAATAGGGAGACAGTGGAATTTATTGAATAGCTTATCAACAGTGTCAGATGTTTCAGAGAGGTCAAAGAGGATGAGGATTGATTAAAAAGATCATTGGCAGCTTTGGAGAGAGCAGTTTCGAATTGAATGATGAGGTCGGAAGCCAAGATTGCAAAGGGTTTAGAAGAGAGTAGAAGAACACTGTCTACAGTCGTTCCTCGACATTTGTTGGGGTTAGGGGTGCAGGGTGTGAAAAATGCAAAGGTAGAAAACAGTGACTGAATCTAGGCCCCACCCCAAACTTTCATTTTTAATAATTCTGATCTTATTTATTTAACACAAAAAAAAGTACCACTGCGCCCATAAAAAAGTTGCTATTTCTATGCAAAAGAGATTAGTATCTCACACACTAACCACAGTTGTAGCTGCAGCAGCTGCTTCACAGATTTCCTTCTCTTATGAAAAGTGCAAGATACAGTGATTACTGAGGAAGAAAACCACATGACTGAGTCTGGATGGTAGAGAGACGACGAGGAGGTGTTTTCAAAGAGAGTACACAGCCCACAGTTCTTTAGCACGTTGAAACGTTTAGCAAAATTTAACTGCTATGAACAGCAACAGATAAGTTGCTTTTCCTATGAGGTAATTTCATATTTTCTGCTATTTTTTCAGTCTTTTGACTTTTATTATTTCTTGAGGTTTCATGGGATTATTAACTTCCTTTGGCCAGTTCGAATTTTCAGAGTTATTTTCTTCAGTAAGATTTTTGCCTCTTTTTCTAAACTGTTAATTTTCTCTTTATATCTTTTCACCTAGCTCTTACCTTTTTCCCATTCTTTCTCCTACTTCTTTCAGTTGGTTTTTAAAGATCATTTTTTTAGCTGCTTCAAATCTTGTTTTAACTCTTTTCAAAGAGTTAGTTTCTTCAGTAAGATTTTTGTCTCCTTTTTCAAACTTAATTTTTTCTTTATATCTTTTCCCCTAGCTCTTACCTTTTCCCCATTCTTTCTCCTACTTCTTTCAGTTGGTTTTTAAAAATCATTTTTTAGTTGCTTCAAATTTTGTTTTAACTCTTCTGGTAATTCTTGTTGGACTTTTGTTCACGCTGCATTTTCTTCAGGGCTTTACGTGTAGATGTTTTCAAGTTATTCTATCCTTCTTTGTTTGTTTTGAGCAACTTTGTCACCCTAATGGCTCTCTATGGATGTTGTTCATTTTTCTACTTCTTGACTTTGGACTTTATGTTAGTGTTAGTTTTTTACACTTTATGGTGGGGAGGGTAAGGTTAAGCTTGACCTTTTTGTCCTGTCTTTCTACTGCTCTTATCATTCAGACTGGGAGTCTGCAAACTTTCAGTGCTCCCCAAATGGTTTGGTCCGAGGGAAGTTTGTTTACCATCCTCCGGGTTTGAGTTCTTCAAGTTCCTTACTCAGGTTTGGGTCTTTTGGTTTGTTTCTGGTTTGGAGTTGGGCTCTACAGATTCAGAGTGACTGAGCTGCCAGCTCCCCTTTGTTCTGAGATGCTGTGCGCTGCTCCTGGGACCAGAGCCACACAGCTATCACTGACTCTCATAACTACTCTCTTTTTGCCTGGATCTGTGACCCAGCACTGGGTGGTGGTGACAGAGCTGCCAGATGGCACCATTCCTGCACCCAGTGCTTGCTCAGGGATCCCCCAGGATCTCTCTCTGGGGCCCTGTCTCTTCCTTCTCTGGGTGTTTGAATGGGACTGCTGCCACAGCCACATCCTTCTGGCCAGACCCTCTACCTAGAGTTCACAGACCTCTCTGTTCATTTCCCTAAGCCTCCCTGGGCTGGAAAAATGATTCGCTGTGACTTCTTTTTGACTTTCCTGATCAGAATTCAGTCTGGTACATTTGTAAGATCTTTTTCAAGATCTTTGTCAGGGAAAGCTAGACTCTAACTCTTTCATCTTAATGCTTTTAAATTATTTTTAATGCAGTAAGACATGGTTCATTTGCAAGAACAAGCAAAGCTAATACCTGTCTCTTGTTTAGGGTGTTGCGGGTATACAGCACACAGAAGAAGCGTGTTGCCTTCAACGTTACAAAGATGCTGTCTGGGGTGGGAGCTGAAGGCGAGGTAATTATCTTTTTAATTTCCATTTTGATATTTTATATAAGTTATGTTTTGGAACTTAGGTAGCTCTAGGAAGGTTTCTTTCTGGATTGCATTAGATTCAGAAATATGACATCTGAGTTCTAATAATATTTTGTCTCTGATTTTTGGCCAGATTAAAGGGAAAACTTTTACAACATAGGCATAGCCAAGCTTCTGCTCTTAAGATCCTAGAATTAGAAGAGACTGTTTATAAGATTTAGAGGCCGTGTAGCATAATTCCCCCTCCTCCCTTTTTTTTTTTTTGGCAGCTTTTTTATACCTTTTTTTATGGAAACTTGCATAGGTACCAGCAGATGAGGACAAAAACTTGTGGTTTTTTGACTTTTTATCCAGCATTCTTTTTGTTTTATCACATCATTCAACACAGGGAAATTTTTGTGACTCTTATGGTTCATTATTATAGCCTAGGTAGTTCCTGGAGAGAAAAGTAGAGTATGGACTCTGCTATCTAACTCCGAGATGAAGCAATTTGGACGAAGTCATAGCGGTAGTTTCTGCCTTATCATATGGCCAATGTTTTCTCCAGTATAAGGATATCTTTTTCCCAACACCTAAGTTGCCCTCAAGATACTGTTCCTTACTTTTCTTAACCATTGTCTGCTCAATGAATGTCTACTAACGTAAAACTAAATGATTCACCCTGCCATAAGAAGGGAGTGTGTCAGCAATTTTTAAAGTACCCAGTGACTTTTATCTTTATCCTCATGCTTTGTCATCCCTTTTTTTGGGGGGTGGGGGTGGAGGTTTACCTACAGAGAGGAGGCCCTTAGAATTGACAAGAGTATATACTGTCCCAAAGCATCTCTCAGCACTGAAAATCTCACTGTTATTGAAATGTTATTTAACTCAAATTTAACACCTTGGTCCAACACTGTTGCAGCTCTTATCTAAATTAGAAAAGGTTTGCCATCCTAATTTTTCCCGTTTCAGTGATCCTTCTAGCATTTCCTTGGAGCAGACAACCCATTTACTAAAAATAATAACAAGGACTAAGGACTCCCAAAAGTTCCCGAAATCCTGTGCCTTCAAGAGGTTGAGTCATTGGCTGGGTTTTAAGACATCAGTTCAATTCAGCAAACATACTCAAGCCTTCAAAACCACCATTCACTATGAAGGAAGAGCCAATGTTGAAACACTTTTCAAAATTTAAAAAATGCTAGAATTTTGTTTATCTGTTTTGACTGGACCTATGTTTTCATCAATGTAGGCGGTTCCTGCTGAGGTGCTTCCTGTATCCATGTGGATCAGCACCTTCTTTACAAATGACAGTTTTAGAGTTTTCTGAGTTTCCTGAGAGATGGGTTATTTGCCCAAATTCATGTAGCTAGTCTCTGTCACAAGTAGGACTTGAATTCAGGATTTTTATCTTTGAGGCCAACACTATGCCACACTGCCTTTTTTTTTTTAAAGTTTTTTTTTTAAATTATTGAGCGTTAATTTCC